CCCGGCCTAGCATTCGTCTTCGGTCTTTAGGGTTTAGGGTTTAGGGTTCAGGGTTTAGGGTTCAGGGTTCAGGGTTTAGGGTTTAGGGTTTAGGGTTTAGGGTTTAGGGTTTAGGGTTTAGGGTTTAGGGGCATTCGTTCCCTTGCCCCGCCCCGCGACCCTCTGGGTCGAAGCGCACCGCTTACGATGGGAAACCTTAAGCCCTATACCCGAAACCCCTAAACCCTGAGCCTCTAAGCCCTAAACCTTAAACCCTAAATCCCTAAATCCCTAGGCCCTATAGACCCTAAGCCCTAAATCCCTAAATCCCTAAATCCCTAAATCCTAAATCCTTAAATCCTTAAATCCCGAAGCCCCTAAACCCTAAACCCTAAATCCCTAAATCCCCAATCCCACTGCGCCTTTTTTCTCTTATTCCCTAAATCCCATCATCCCGGAATCCCTACGCCCCTAAACCCTGAACCCTAAATCCTTAAATCCCGGAATCCCTAAGCCCCCAAACCGTAAACCCTAAATCCCTAAATCCCGGAATCCCTAAATCCCTAAGCCCCAAAACCCTGAACCCTAAACCCTGACTAAATCCCTAAATCCGGAAATCCCTAAGCTCTTTATAGACCCTAGTCGTAGAGCTCAGGATGTACGGCGGTCTCGAGGTCTACGAGGGCCGCGACATCTTGCAGCCAGGGACCGGGCATGCGGAAATGCAGGTTTAGGTCTTAGGGCTCAGGGTTTATGGTCTAGGGTTTAGGGTTTAGGGTTTAGGTCTTAGTAGTTTAGGTCGTAGGGTTTAGGTCTCAGGGTTGAGGGGTTTAGGCTCAGAGTTCAGGGTTGAGGGCTCAGAGTTTCGGGTTTGGGGCTCAGGGTTTAGGGGTAGGGCTCAGGGTTTAGGGTTGAGGGCTCAGGGTTTAGGGCTTAGGCCTATACTGGGTTGCTGCTGAGGAACTTAAATCAAGTTACTAGGTGGCACTTTGGGAAACTTTAAGATTTCGCCTCTGGTTCTTGTTGAGGTACCGATTCACAAATACTTTTAAGGGCCCCAAAGCTACAACCCGGAAATCCAGGTTTTGAATATGTTCGGTTGGGGTTTATGGGGCTTATGGGGTTCGGGTTTCAGGGAGTTTAGAAAGGCCGTTGTTTTGAGGGTTTAGAGTTTATGTGGTTTACAGGGTTTGTAGGGTTTGCAGGGTTTGGGCTAAAAGTTTCGGAGTTCACGGTTTTAGGGTTTTACCGTTTTGGAGTTTCAGTCTTGAGGATGTTGTGGAAGTGACAGGGCTTGAGAGCTTTTAGGGTTTAGGTCTTCAGGGCATAAGGGCTTTTGGACGTTTTGGGGGGTTCAAGGATGCAGGGGGTGTTTGGGCTGGAACTTTCGAGGGCTTTTTGGGCTTTACCTGGAGGATCATGGGACTTAGTAAGTAAGGTTATAAGTCCCCTAATTGGGGTTATAAGTATAGTTACCTTAGTTGTAACCCTACTTACTAATTTAGGGTTTATGGTTTTGGTCTGTAGCTGTCCTCTGGTTGCTGTACGTGCTCCTCGTGGGAAGCTCAGGGGTTACGCAGGCGTCGGCGACAAATCAGACCCCACTCCGCGTTTCCTGCGCTGCAGAGTCTGGCCCTTTCTAGGATCCTCCTTAATATAGAGGCCTGGAAAAAAACTGGGAGAGGGTTTCGGAGTATAATGTACAATTATACTATAACTATAATAAGGGAGCCCAAAAATAGTATTGGTAATTATTTAGGCTGCTACAGCAGGCTTGTCGCAAAGCCACGAAAAGGACCTTTCGCAGGTCAACGACCAGGCGATTTCTGCGATTGCCAGTGGGCCCCAAACCGGAAGCCCAACCTGGGCCCCACAAACACCTTCCTCTAGGGGCTTAAATAATAGTAAAAAATCACCAATATTAATTTAGGGGTCCTTACTCTCAGTATAGTATAATATCCGCCCCAAAATCCGATTCTGATGATTAAGGCCACTACGTTACCCAAACCTTCAAATAAACCCTAAACCCTAAACCCTAAACCCTAAACCCTAAACCCTAAACCCCGAAGCTTTTGCAACCCCGCGAGGATCCTTCGAGCCTTTCTTTCGCAGCTCGTCAGTTTTACTGGGGTGGGCGCTTGCTCCAGGAGACGGGGGGCCCCACAAAGCCCCCAAGAAGCACCGAAAACCCTAAACCCTAAACCCTAAACCCTAAACCCTAAACCCTAAACCCTAAACCCTAAACCCTAAACCCTATAAGGACTTCCCAAAAGAAGGACTCCGCCCAAGCCCCAATCTCTAGACCGGAAGCCCCTAAGCCACAACGCCAAGACTAACGAACACCAGGTGCCAAAGCCGAGACACGGAGATGTCGTGTTGCTTATGCCGACGAAAAATTTCCGGCTCAGAGCTCCAACCCCAACTCAAGGGCCTTCTACGTAGAATCTGCTTCTACATCTTCACGTATGCATCTGAAAGCCCAGGTATCCCTACATCAACAAAGTGCGCATCGTTGAGCCCAATTCGAGTACCTACCAGACGGTCGGATTGGATTATTTCCTGCTCCAGTTCTCTCCTAGCAACGAGGCAGGTCGACGTGTGCGCCTCAACCGCTTGGGGTTCAGGCTGACGGTTGGCCTTCAATCCCAAAGCCTGAAAACCGAGAAGTTTTGGTTTAGGGCTTGCCTAAACCCTAAACCCTAAACCCTAAAACCCTGACCCTAAACCCTAAAACCCTAAACCCTAAACCCTCAACCCTAAAACCCTAAACCCTAAAACCGTAAACCCTAAAACCGTAAACCCTAAAACCGTAAACCCTAAAACCCTAGACCCTAAACCTTAGTTCCAAGAGTCCGAAGTCCCTCAGCCCTGCCAGGGCGCGGAGAGCGGTCAGAGCGGCTTCAATGCTATGGCGGAGCCATTGCCGGGTGAGACAGCAGACGAGGCCTTTGTTCCCCAACTCTCGGGAGGATGTAAGAAGTAGATCCCTTAAGGGAGTTCCTATAAAGTACCCTTTAGTAGTTAGGGTCCCAAATTAGGGGTTCTACTCTTTAGATCCTCCCGCCGGGGGTTTGGGTTTGGGGATGTGGGAGTAAGGGTTGTAGCCTTTGGCGTGCATGACTTCTGTGCATGAGGGCTGGTTTGCATCGTTGCTCTTTATTTGCTGGGTCTTTGTAAAAGGGTTCGGAGTTATGTTTCAGAGTGCGTGGCTTTCGGGCGCTTTTCTTTGTTTAGGGCAGGTTGTGGGTTCTTGGGTGCACGGGCTTCAGGATATTGCTGGGGTTGAAGGCTCCAGGCTTTGAGACTTTAGGGTTTAGGGTTTAGGGGTTTAGGGGTTTAGGGTTTTAGGGTTTTAGGGTTTAGGGTTTAGGGGTTTAGGGTTTAGGGTTTAGGGTTTAGGGACTGTTGAAGGCGCAGTGGTTTAGGGTTTAGGGTTTAGGGTTTGGAGGGCCCGGAACATCGCACCGCAGTAGCCAGAGTTTTGTTTGCATTGCATCTGGGTCGTTCTCTAAATTAGGGTCCCTTTTTAGGTCCCCAGTATAGCACGGCACCCTTATGATATGGACCCTAAAACCCTAAACCCTAAACCCTAAACCCTCAACCCTAAAGCCTAAACCCTAAACCTAAAAGGGCCCTTATGTAGAAGACTACCCATCGAGTGCTTTCCGAAGGTCGTGCCGGCGCTCATGCAGCCTGGATGCAAAGAGGCATATCGGATGTCGATCGGGGGTGTGGCGCTGGACCTAGTACTTTAGAGTTGCGGTTGTACGTGAGTTTATACGACTCCTGACTGGGGCCCCCGTATTCGGAACTTACAGGCTTTCTTTGCTGCTAAGCCCGCGGCCCTCTAATTTTCGTATTTCTAGGCTAATCGGCCCAGACATCCGATCCGATCTTGCAACCCATAACATGCCAGGAATGCCCGAAGTAGAAACTCGACGCCCGCAACCCGAAGCCACGGAAACCCTAGCCCTTCACACTCCGAAGCCCAAGCTCCAGGCTCAACTAAAGCTGTCAGGTATGACTTCGGGAGCCATGTCTGCCCCCACGTGACGCTAGGTGGCGGCTCGGCTTTTCTCAGGATGCCCCCTGATCTTTGCAGGGAGGATGAGCTCTACGCGGTTCACGGGCCCAAGTGGGGAACCCGGATATAGCTGCAGCCCTCAGGCCCTAAGCCCTAAACTGAGAAGCATTCGCCCTAAACCGTAAACCCTAAAAAACACCCAGCTCTGAACCCACTAAGTGCTGCAAGGCTGGTGGAGGGTCACGGCCAACTATGCCAGCACCGTTAACCAGGCCGCAAGGGTTTCGGGTTTACCTTAAGAACCCAAAACCCACTTTTTTGTAGGGTCCCTATAAATCCCATATTAGGGTTTAAAATAAGAACCTACAAAAAAGTGGGTTTGGGGTTCTTAAGGTAGGACCCGGAAGCATCAAAGCCTAAAGCTCTAAATCCTGAAGCCCTCAAACTCGAGACCGCCAAGCCTAAAGCGGGAAAGCGTTAACGGGTGCATCTTCATGGCTTCATCAAGCTCGGTTTCGTAGGATCTGAGTTTTTGTTGTTGGATGTATTATTAGAATAGGGTTTGGGGGTATAGTATACTGTAATTATAATAAGGAACCCCCAACACCCTGTTCTAATTCTTAAGGCCCCCCCAGAGAGATGCAACAACCAACCCCGGCCAACGAGGTAAACCCTTGAGCCCTGGCTCCGAGATCCTCAATCCTAAACCTTACACCTCAAGCATATAGTTATAGGGGGTTCAGGGTTTAGGGTTTAGGGTTTAGGGTTTAGGGTTTACCTCAAGCCCAACACCCTAGTATAGGGGTCTCAATAGTTACCAGCACTATTTTTTGGGGGGGTTCCTGATTAGACGGCATATTGTCCAAGCTTTCTTAGTTGAACAGCTCAAGAGTAGCTATACATTCCCTGGATGCAGAAGTCATCTAAAGCTTTGTTCGCTTCAGACGTTTGTCCGAGTC